AGATATCGAAATGTCAGGTGAATAAACATATTGTCCCAGCGATCGAGTCTTCTTCTTGGCGCAGTCATTGTCCGCTCCATAAGGTTACTGCAGTGTTGATGATTTAAAACAAAATCTCTTAAATGGGAACTAGAATTGTTATGCGCAATTCGTTCGAATATTATGCTGAACTATATTATTTAAAAAATGCGCATTTGTTATGTCTTCTGAAACTTTTTGCTTAGTGAGAAGTGGAATTATTTCCTCCTACAACCATATATGTGCAGTGTTTGACCTTGCCTCATTCATAAGTTTCTTTTATCAAAACGACTACCATTTAAATCATCCTAACTTATAATATGTTTTTCTGAAGCTCTTTTCACGTTCGATCTAAGAAAAGTATATGTTGCTTCTTCTTTTTGGTCTCGATAAGTCCTAAACCCTATAAATAAATGCATTTTTGACTGAAATTAGACAATTTTGTAAAGGCTATAACTTTAAACGCGGCGACTTGACGGCTAATTGCTGGCATTCATCTAAAAAAGGCGTCCTTGCAATTAACGTACCTCTTTCCCGGTACCTCTACTGACATCCTGCCGCTACATCTTTTCTTCAACCGAACTAAGTCGCCCAGTAGCCAGGCCGGAAGAAAAGGAAATCATCTGGCGCTTCAGAAACGGCCTGACAAATGTGACATTTTTGGAGCCGATGGTACCGTGGAAATTAACACTGTCTCTAGATCCGCTGCACAAATATTAATCGGAGTGCTTTGGCGACACACTAAAAAATTACAATATTGGACACGGTCAGTAATAATCACTTATACTGTTCTGAAGGCCCCAATTTCATCTTGAATAACGGGCTGCGCAAGAGAGGGCAGAATAAGGCAACGCCAAATTATTCTTGAAAACATGGTCAGATAGCATAGAGTTTGTTAAAAACGCCGACATTACCCTGTATAGAAAGGAACAATCAGGGCATATTTCTGAAAACTCGTAGGAATCAGTGGTTTTTCGACTGTAGCCAGCGATTGAGACTGTGGTGGCTCACTCCGCACGGGCAAGCATGTGCCAGGGCTCACCGCCGTGAATAAGTACACATACACTGGCCACCTTCGCCCGTCCGTCTAGCCAATCCGTCTGATCAATCACCTTTCAGGGCCGACTCAGGCAAAAGCAGCTCCGGACGCTGTGGCGATTCCTGTGATCACTTCACT